AGCATTAGGAGATATACCTAATGTAAATGACGAGTTAATGGGTGCAGCACACCAACATGGCACATGTATACATATGTAACAAACCTGCAGGTTGTACACATGTACCCTAGAACTTAAAAGTATAATAATAATAAAAAAATAATAATAAAGCATATACACAGAGAGCACTTCATGATAATACAAACAAAAGCAACACATGAGGTATTGATTGTGTAATTATGTAGCACACAGCATAATTATGGGTCCTTAATAAATACTGGATGATGGTTACAATTATTGTCAACTTAATAAATATTGTCTGAAATAAGAAAAAAAACAATGTTGGTGTTTAAATGGCTGTAATTACATTTCTAGGCTAACACTGCTATTAAGTTGAATATGGAAAGCTTTTGCTTCTGTGTTGCTGTTCCATACGTGGGTCTGAGATCTCCAAAAGGCCAGATGAATGAGCCTTTCATTAAAAAAAAAAAAAATTCTTCTTGACTGTAGAGATAATAGCTCTAGTAAGGAAAGTAAACTATATTCTGGAGAAATCAGCAGAAATTCATAGGCTCTTAAGTCTTCTGGAGCCAACTAATTTCAGTTGGTTTAGGATGAACAATTTTATTGAACTGCAATAAATTTGAATTTCTTCTAAATCCTTAAGTTTGGAAGGATAATCTATTCTTATTTTAATATTGGAAAGAAAGAATAAGCAATCAGGTCTAACCCTATCTAAGAGTGTTAGAATAGAATGAAGGTGTCTATATTTGCTGTGTTCCCTCTGAAAGGTATAAAGATGAGAGATGATTGCTGGTGACTCACCGTTCTATTTCATCTAGAGACCTGAGTGCTCTCACTGCTCTATTCCCTTAGGAGGTCATGTTCCTCTGCTTAAAAGAATATTGCCTGCTCTCTGAGCTAATGATTTGTTTGGAGGATGGAAGTCTCAGAGGTGAAGATAACTGCACAGCTTTTAAAATGTATCTTTCTGATCTTTGATCTGTTTTTTTCTGAATACATAGGGCCCTTCAATGGCAAGATTAAAGACGCCTTTTCTTAGAAGAGAGGCAAAAGTTGAAAACTTAAAAGCTGCTCAGATTTCCAAATAATATTTTTGTATTTTTTCATTTTGTTGACATCATGTTGGGTGAGTGTCATCCTTCATTCATGTGATAATTGGATAGTAATCAAAATGCAGTGTTGGATCACAGGTTTTCCAAGAAGATGGGGAAACTATGCATTTTGTTTAAAAAGTAGTAAATGCAAACTAGTTTATGATTAGGGCATACATAACTCATTTTGAATTCCATTTAATTCAACAAATATTTACTTGGTACCTAGTAGATGCCAAACATCGTGTCTTCTTTTGTAGGGAATATCAAGAACAAGGACCTGTTTTCAAGAGACTTATACCCTTAATCAGGCAGTTAAGGGGATTACAGAAATGGCCGTCGTAGGATGCAGAATATGCCAAATGAAAAGTGCGTGGAGAGAAATGAATGACATTCAATGCGGGACAGAGAAGAGACCACATTTAAATGAGAGGGCATCATGGAAGCGTTCAGCATCTGAGAATGACTTAGCAAAATGGCAAGATTTTCCTGGATGGGGCTAGAACTGAAAGTAGGTGATAGTAAAGCATGTGATGTGCAGAGGGCAGGGGGAGTGGCATAAGGCAGGGGAGGGAAGTGGTCAGAAAAGGTTGAGAAGCTTGTATTTAATGAGCAGGCAGCGGGGAGCCAAGGAAGATTTTTAAGCAGAGCAGAGATAGTGTTAAAAGTTGTGGTTCAAGAAATATTTCTGAAGCATTTTAAAGCAGAATTTCCTGTCTTTTGAACTAAAAAAAATGTCTATGTAAACAAATGTGTTTGATAATATCCTACAGGCTTTATTTCCAAATAGAATGGCTACCTCTGAAAATGTTAAACCATGACAGTAGTATGAGAATTAATTTCTCACTTATACTTGGATCCAAAAGGTTTTTATTTTTCAGTTTTATAATGTTGTGGCTCATCCATGCATATATTTCTAATGTAGATTAAATAAATCAGCAAATGATTGTTTTATTTTATAGCATTCTGAACAACTTAATCTGCCCCCTTCTACCAGGCGAACAGCTGTTTTTTAATGTCTGAATAATATTTTGATATGCTTTTGTTTTGCTCCTAAGTCCTGTTGGGGAAAAAAAAAATGTGACCTTACAAAAGCATGGAAATAAAACATAAAATGTATAGAAAAATACATAGTCTTACAGAATAAAGAAAAACAAAAAAGCCAGGTGTGGTGGCCTACGCCTGTAATCCCAGCACTTTCGGAGGCTGAGGCAGGTAGACCACCCAGTCAGGAGATCGACACCCTCCTAGCTAATACTGTGAAACCCCGTCTCTACTAAAAATACAAAAAAAAATTAGCCGGGCATCATGGTGGGCGCCTGTGGTCCCAGGTGCTCAGGAGGCTGAGGCGGGAGGATGGCGTGAACCTGGGAGGCAGAGCTTGCAGTGAGCCGAGATCGTGCCACTGCACTCCAGCCTGGGCGACAGAGCAGGACTCCATCTCAAAAAAAAAAGATTTTTTTAAAGCGAAAATCAGGATGGCCTTGAATGGACATAGGTCTGATCAGAAGATACTTTTTTCAGGAGTATTTTTTTTTTCATAATTACCATTGTGATGGTCGGAGTTTATCCAAAATAAATCTGAAAATGCGAGTAGTTTTATTTATCTTCTACTAAACCTTCATCAGAATAAGTAATCTAATATGGGTCATGTTTCCTCTGTGTTATTTTCTGCCATTCTGGGCAGAAAATATGAGAACCTGAAGGATACATAACTCAAAACTACAGAACTCTCAAATACATGATGACAAGACAGCATGCTGAAGTAAGCACAATATGACCTGAAAGCAGTCAGTTAATAATGGACTGTAAATATTTTGGAAGTGTTTGAACACACTGAAACTCAAGAAGCTGCCAATTTTTTGAAGACTTCATCTTGTTTTCTCTTACTATGGATGTATTTGGAAGATCTTTCCTTATTTTATAAGTAGAGGATGGTGCGTTGTTAAGTAATATTCTACTGACCTAAAAAAGTCAACAAAACTCATGTGTGCTTAATTTGCTATTATTTACAATTTATTCTATGGAGGAAATAAATACCAAAATAGATTGTTGTTTCATCTAAATGACCACAGGGGAAAACAAAGAGTTCAAATCAAATAGAAGATACTTCTTCACATTACAATAGGTTTGTCTTATGATTCCATTTGAGTTATGCCAAAATATTTTACTTTAAAAAGTTTGATTTGCACAGAAATAAAAGAAACTCTAAAGTCTGTCATAGGCAGTATTTTTTTTAATTTAATTTTGTTTTGTTTTTTAAAATATCCCATTCTAAAGTTCTTAACTGGGGACTTGAGCCAAACCTAGTTGGCACATAATAGTGACCCCTGCATCCCTTCTAGTTGTTGGTTTTTAATTGACTATTTTGAATAGAATTCTTCATAAGAAAAAGTATGTAGGAAAAAAGTAGAATTGAGAAAGATTACTACCAGGTATTTTCTAAATTAATATTCAAACTCAAACTGATAAAAGTACTCATCAGTAAAGTAAGCAGATAAAGCAAATTAGCATTCATCAACAGTCACTCTTTTCAGTAAGGTATAACACAGAGCATGCTAAAAAAGCATAAGCTTATTTCACATTCCTATGCCTCATCAGTACGTATTGTTGACTAAGATAACTGATGAAAAAAAAAAACACAGCATGAGAATGGTGATTTATCAGGTACACCACATTATTACCACTATTTTATGCTTCTCTTAAACATCAAAGGTATAATTTAGCAACAAGCATATCCAACTTTCATGTAGTAATAGATCCATAAAATTAAAATTAAAATTAAAATTACCAATCAAATTAAAATCACCAACACTTGAGTGAACCTTTCCAATGAAAGTGAATTAATCACTGAGAATGATATGAAAACTAAAGTGTTCTAAAAACCAATGCCTTACCAGTAACTGGATCAGGTTCAATGTCACCTCTGCTCTCCTTCCATGACAGCAGGTAGTTGAGGCTGGTGAGATCTGCAGACTCTATATAGTTGTTCACTGTAAGCATCATCTGATGAGCTTTTGCTATTCCATAGTGAACTTTTGTCTCATCCATCAGAGGCATGCTCATTAGCTCTACTGTTGTGTCAAAAGCTTGCTGAAAGCGTTGAGAAGCTTTGTTGTAGTGTCCCTAAAAAGGTAAGAGAAAGAATTTTCTTTCTTACTTTTAATTTCACCATTTCACATATTTTCCGACCTTACCCTGGCATGTCCCACACTGACCTTTCGACAGTTATAGCAGTTCATCTTCAAGAAGAAACAGATGGCAAGCAGGCTATTAGGATAAGGTTCTCTTAAAGAGCTGTGATTACTCACCATTCAATATCTTGAAATTAACTTAGTAGGAAAGTTCTATCTATTAGACTAAGCTATATAAGACTTAAGTTCTGCAATGTCTGGCAAGATGGCCTAATAGGAACAGCTCTGGTCTGTAGCATCCAGTGAGCTCAGCACAGAAGGTGGGTGATTTCTGCATTTTCAACTGAAGTAACCAGCTCATCTCTTTGGGAAGGGTTAGACAGTGGGTGAAGCCCACAGAGGGCAAGCCAAAACAGGATGGGGCACTGCTTCACCTGGGAAGTACAAGGGTTGGGGAATTTCCTCGCCTAGCCAAGGGAAGCCACAAGGGACTGTGCTGTGAGGAATGGTGCTCTCTGGCCCAGATATTATGCTTTTCCCATGGTCTTCACAACCCACAGACCAGGAGATTCCCTCCGGTGCCTATGCCACCAGGGCCCTGGGTTTCAAGTGCAAAACAGGGTGGCCATTTGGGTAGACACCAAGCAGGAGTTCTTTTTTCACACCCCAGTGCTGCCTGCAATGCAAGCAAGACAGAACCATTCACTACCCTGGCAAGGAGGCTGAAGCCAGGGAGCCAAGTGGTCTAGCTCAGCGAATCCCACCCACACGGAGCCAACCAAGCTAAGATCCACTAGCGTGAAATTCTCGCTGCCAGCCCAGCAGTCTGAAGTCAACCTGGGATGCTCGAGCTTGGTGGGGGCGGGGGATCCACCATTACTGAGTCTTGAGTAGGCGGTTTTCCCCTCCCAATATAAACAAAGCCTCTGGGAAGTTCCAACTGGGTGGAGCACACTGCAGCTCCCCAAAGCCCCTGCAGCCAAACTGCCTCTCTAGATTCCTCCTCTCTGGGCGGGGCATCTCTGAAAGAAAGGCAGCAGCCCCAGTCATGGGCTTATAGATATAAAACTCCCATGTCCCTGGGACACAGCACCTGGGAGAAGGGACCGCTGTGGGCACAGCTTCAGCAGACTTAAATATTTCTGGCTGCTGGCCCTGAAGAGAGCAGCAGATCTGCCAGCAGAGTGCTCCAGCTCTGCTAAGAGACAGACTGCCTCCTCAAGTGGGTCCCTGACCCCCGTGCCTCCTGACTGAGAGACATCTCCCAGCAGGGGTTGAGCTCCAGCTGGCATCTGGAGGATGACCCTCCATGACGAAGCTTCCAAAGGAAGGAACAGGCAAAAATCTTTCTGTTCTGCAACCTCCGCTGGTGATACCCAGGCAAACAGGGTCTGGAGTGCACCTCCAGCAAACTCCAGCAGACCTGCAGGAGAGGGGCCCGTTAGAAGGAAAACTAACAAACGTAAAGGAATAGCATCAACATCAACAAAAAGGATGTCCACACAGAAATGCCATCCGAAGGTCACCAACATCAAAGACCAAAGGTAGATAAACCCACGAAGATAAGAAAAAACCAGCACAAAAAGGCTGAAAATTCCAAAATCCAGAATGCCTCTTCTTCTCCAAAGGATCATAACTCCTCACCAGCAAGGGAACAAAACTTGATGGAAAATGAGTTTGACGAATTGACAGAAGTAGGTTTCGGAAAACGGGTAATAAAAAAACTCCTCTGAGCTAGAGGACCATGTTCTAATCCAATGCAAGGAAGCTAAGAACCTTGACAAAACGTTAGACGAATTGCTATCGAAAATAGCCAGTTTAGAGAAGAATATAAATGACCTGATGGAACTGAAAAACACAGCACGAGAATTTCGTGAAGCATACAAAAGTATCAATAGCTGAATTGATCAAGCAGAAGAAAGGATATCAGAGATTGAAGATCAACTTAATGAAATAAAGTGTGAAGATAAGATTAGAGAAAAAAGAAAAAGAATGCAAGAAGCTTGCAAGAAATATGGGACTATGTGAAAAGACCAAATCTACATTTGATTGGTGTACCTGAAAGTGACAGAGAGAATGGACCCAAGTTAGAAAACGCTTTAGGATACTATACAGGAGCACTTCCCAACCTAGCAAGACAGGCCAACATTCAAATTCAGGAAATACGGAGAACACCACAAAACTCCTTGAGAAGAGCAACTCTGAGACACATAATCGTCAGATTCACCAAGGATGAAATGAAGGAAACAGTATTAAGGGCAGCCAGAGAGAAAGGTCGGGTTATCCACAAAGGGAAGCCCATCAGACTAACAGTGGATTTCTTTGCAGAAACCTACAAGCCAGAAGAGAGTGGGGGCCAATATTCAACACTCTTAAAAGAATTTTTGACTCAAAATTTCATATTCAGTCAAATTAAGCTTCATAATTGAAGGAGAAATAAAATCCTTCACAGACAAGCAAATACTGAGAGATTTTGTCACCACCAGGCCTACCTTACCAGAGCTCCTGAAGGAAGCACTAAATATGGAAAGAAAAAATCAGTACCAACTACTGCAAAAACACCAAATTGTAAAGACCATCAACACTATGAAGAAACTGCATCAACTAACGGGCAAAACAACCAGCTAGCATCGTTATGACAGAATCAAATTCACACACAACAATATTAACCTTAACTGTAAATGGGCTAAATACCCCAATTAATAGAAACAGACTGGCAAATTTGATAAAGGCTGAAGATTCATCCGTGTGCTCTATTCAGGAAGCCCATTTCATGTGCAAAGGCACACATAGGCTTAAAATAAAGGGATGAAGGAATATTTACCAGGTAAATGATAAGCAAAATAAAAGCGGAGGTTGCAATCCTAGTATCTGATAAAACAGACTTTAAACCAACAAAGATGAAAAAAAAGACAAAGAAGGGCATTACGTAATGGTAAAGGGATCAATGAAGCAAAAAGAGCTAACTAGCCTAAATATATACGTACCCAATACAGGAGCACCCAGATGAGTAAGACAAGTTCTTAGAGACCTACAAAGAGACTTAGAATCCCACATAATAATAATGAGAGACTTTAACACCCCACTGTCAATATTAGACAGATCAACAAGACAGAAAATTAACAAGGATATTCCGGACTTGAATTCAGCTCTGGACCAAGTGGACTTAATAGGCATCTACAGGACTCTCCACCCTAAATCAACAGAATGTACATTCTTCTCAGTACCACATCACACTTATTCTAAAATTGACTACATAATTGGAAGTAAAACACTCCCTAGCAAATACAAAAGAATAGATATCATAACAAACAGTCTCTCAGACCACAGTGCAATCAAATTAGAACTCAGGATTAAGAAACTCACTCAAAACCACAAATGGAAACTGAACAACATGCTCCTAAGTGACTACTGGGTAAATAACAAAATTAAGGCAGAAATAAATAAGATCTTTGAAAACAATGATAACAAAGACACAACGTACCAGAATCTCTGGGACACAGCTAAAGCAGTGTTTAGACGGAAATTTACAGCACTAAATGCCCACATTGATAAAGCAGAAAAGATTTAAATCGACACCCTAACATCAAAATTAAAAGAACTAGAGAATCAAGAGCAAACAAATTCAAAAGCTAGCAGAAGGCAAGAAATAACTAAGATCAGAGCAGAACTGAAGAAGATAGAGACACAAAAAAATCCTTCAAAAAATCAATGAATCCAGGAGCTGTTTTTTTTAAAAAAAAGATTAACAAAATAGATAGAATGCTAGCCAGACTAATTGAGAAGAGAGAATAATCAAACAGATGCAATAAAAAATGATAAAGGGGATATCACTACTGATCCCACAGAAATACAAACTACCATCAGAGAATACTATAAATACCTCTATGCAAATAACTAGAAAATATAGAAGAAATGGATAAATTCCTGGACACATATACCCTTCTGAGACTATACCAGGAATAAGTCAAATCCCTGAATAGACCAATAACAAGTTCTGAAATTGAGGCAGTAATTAATAGCCTACTAACCAAAAAAAGCCCAGGACCAGACAGATTCATAGTTGAATTCTATCAGAGGTACAAAGAGGAGCTGGTACCATTACTTCTGAAACTATTCCAAACAATAGAAAAAGAGGGACTCCTCCCTAACTCATCTTAGAGGCCAACATCATCCTGATAACAAAACCTGGCAGAGACACACACAAAAAAGAAAATTTCAGGCCAACATCCCTGATGCACATTGATGCGAAAATCCTCAATAAAATACTGGCAAACCAAATCCAGCAGCACATTAAAAATCTTATTCACCACGATCAAGTTGGCTTCATCCCTGGGATGCAAAGCTGGTTCAACATACGCGAATCACAAAACATAATTTCTCTCACATAAACAGAACCAACGACAAAAACCACATGATTATCTCAACGGATGCAGAAAAGGTCTTCAATAAAATTAAACACCCCTTCATGCTAAAAACTCTTGATAAACTAGGTATTGATGGAACGTATCTCAAAATAATAAGAGCTATTTATGACAAACCCACAGCCAATATCATACTGAATGGGCACAAGCTGGAAGCATTCCCTTTGAAAACCGGTACAAGGCAAGGATGTTCCTCTCTCACCACACCTATTCAACATATTATTGGAAGTTCTGGCCACGGCGATCAGGCAAGAGGAATAAATAAAGGGTATTCGAATAGGAAGAGAGGAAGTCAAATTGTCTCTGTTTGCAAATGACATGATTGTATATTTAGAAAACCCCATCGTCTCAGCCCAAAATCTCCTTAAGCTGATAAGCAACTTCAGCAAAGT